TGATAAGCAGTACTTGTAATTGGCTCATTGGTGACTAAGTACAAGTGTAGCTATCTCTGTGTAAAAACAATTAATAAAGTAAACATGCCATGCCCATCAGCATTGGGTTAAGAGAAAGAAAGGGAAGAAATAATAATGTTGATATAATATTAATAAGTTTGAGCAATAATAATTCTCCTCACTCATATTCCCATCTGTGGCTCTAGATCAGGAGGAGCACATCTGTTTGGCCCTGGAGACGTGCATTAATGAAACTATTTCGTACACTAAAAATAAGATACCCTTTGGCCAGCCCTTTGTCAACAACCAGTATATTCACTTTCGTCTTGCTGAACTGCAAACAGAGGTAAAGTCACTGAGCTCTCTCTTATACAGTGCTGTAGGTCAGGTATGTTTTAGGGGCTCAGCATAAAAAGGGGGATTTGTGGTAAAACAGAAAATATCAGAGCACTCAATCAAAGAATGTCATAATTAAGCCAACCATAATCTTTGTTGTTTTTAAAGTTCATAATGTGTACTTTGCATTTATGAACACTTTTTTCCATCTGTTCACCCCATGAATCTACAGAAATTTGTCCTTGCCCGTAGGGAGGCAATGATTTTCAATCTGAAATCCAGTAGGAATATATTAATGTCAGGTATGTAAACATACCAGTGTCCAACAACAGCAACAGCAATAATGAACTTCTAGCTAGATGGCGCAAATCCTCTTTTGAATGCAGAGAGTCTTGTGTATTGCGTTGGGTTCTGTGTTACTCTTTTTAGAATTTAATGAGTTGAGATCTGATTAGTGTATAGGTGTACAGTTTACTGACTAGGATATATGTATATGTATGTAAGCAGGGCCGTTGGGAAGGCAGCATTGCAGGGGGGGGTGTAATGTTTCAAATTTGCTGACAAAGGGCGTGGTCATTGGCGACTTTATTAGTCACACAATAACTCTATGTTGTGTGAACCATTCGTAGAGAGCGCCGACTAATTAGTAGCAGAAACTGTCAAAATTTACCAATTTGCCAAAAAAATGCAGGTTTAAGGTTTCATTTGCTGACAGATGCTTTTTTCAGAGGAAGTGTCACACCCCCCACACCCCCCGCCATGATGGCCCTGTATGTAAGGTTCTTCAGGTACAGCAGTGAAGAGTAATGATGATATATTTTGACTGCAAGAAATGACAATAGGATGAAAACTTTATGTGTGCATATTCTAAAATAGATTATACTCTCCTTTGTCACTTTTTAAATTTCTTTTTATTTAGATCTCTACATAGCAGGACATGATGTAACAAAGCTCGCATCCATGTGTAAGCTGAAGTCAGGTCGACTAGCCCGTGAAGTAACTGATTCTTGCCAATAATTTTGTGGTGAAATGGGATTCAGGAATGAGGTGAGGCTTTTTGATTAATGTTGTTTAAAGTAATTCTGTACTGCTGAAACTATACAGCACATTTTTCTTTTATAGGTACAAAAAAAAAAAAAAAAAAATGGGCCATATGATTTGATTCTCTTTGTAATTGACACATGCATGCATCCCCCCCCCCACACACACACACACAGATATATATATATATATATATATATATATATATATATATATATATATATATATATATATATATATATATATATATATATATATATATTCATATTCATATTCATATATTAATATTTTTTTTATAATCAGTACTTCCATCATTTGAATAATGTTATTTTTCATACAGTTTCCTATTTCTCTTGCTAATGCTTTGTTTTTTCTTTTAATAGGTACTGGTGAGCCAGCTATACAGAGACTTGCATTTGTATTCCACTGGAGAGGGTGCAGATGAGGTTATGTTGACAATTATCAGCAAATATATTGGGATTCTAAAGCAGTCTAAAATGAATAGAACAAAGAGTGTAAGGTTGAATGTCAATAGATTTGCATACATATTTTTATTGACAATTAAAAGATTATAAGGTTTTCTACAATTATTTTTTTATCCACCAAACCTACAAGTAACGATGTCTTTTAATCCAGTCTTCTGATATATTAGTGGAGATATCATGTACAGTTTTTGTTAATGTCAACTTATCTAATTACATGTTCAATTGTATTATAATCTGGGATATATTTACCTTATTGAAACTGTTTGTAATCTATTTTTGGTGTCATTTGTTTCTTCATAATGTATAATTGTGACAGAAAAAGGAAAAAATTAATGGTGTTTGTTGAAGTATAATGTCCTTGATTCTGACTGTTTGTGATACATGTTTATCATATCTAACATCCTCTCTAAAAAAACTATTGCCTTGAAATCAATGAAAAATGTTGTGCTTCTATTTTTTAGGAAAATACAGAACAGGTCAGATTACAAACTGACTGTGTAACTAAATGGATAGCAACAATTTTTTTTTATAGATCAATCAGAGCAGGATGGCTTCTCAGTCAATTTAGCTGAAGGTGATTATAATGTGGTGGATGCATTGCATAAACATAGAAGACCAAGCATTAAAGGATTATTTTA